GATGCATACATGCATACACATTAAAATTCCTTCAAACTACTTGATTCTCCTTTCCTTTGCAAGTTTTGCTATTATGACCCGATTGTTTGCATAACTTACATCTATATGTCTTAGTATTAGGCTCTTCCAAAATACTATTAATTCTCTTTGACTTAGGACGACCTTTCGGTCTTCGTAAAATAGGATTCCGGATCTCTAAATTTTTATCATCATTCTGAGTGTTGAAATTCCCTTCGCTACTACCAAGAATTCTGTGTTGTGACATTTTCTGCTGAATAGATCGAAAAAATTCTAAAACCTCATGATAAGTGTCCTCATTACCTTCTTCAACAACATCACTACTAATTTTTTTCCCTAAACCAAACAATTCTCCGAATTTGCGCTTTTTTGAAATAATACTAGATATTTCATTACTATCGTTAATTGTCCCAATTTCTCCGATTTGATTGGCATCGAAACTTGGTGGTTGTAAAAATCGAGTTGGTAATGAATAATTCTTTGATGTTGATGCATTTAAGGAAATGACAATAAATTCATTATTTGATATGTTGATTCCTTGCAATTGATCTTTATACCAACGCCGATTTATTAATCCGATATGGAATCGGGCGATTGGTGTAAGAGTCATTAATCGATAAAAGTGGCGGCATATATATCCATGCGATCTGAACATCATACATGTACAAAGAAAGATACTGTCATTCAAAAGGTATATGAAGTGTGATGTTTTCGGATTTGCTAAATGTAAAATTTCCCAGGCTTCAAGGACAGTCGAAGTATCTTCTGGAAAGGAACTCAAATGGATTTGTGGAAAGTCAAACAGGTTATCAATAAATCTGTCTGATTCGTCAAGTACCTAAGGTAAGACAATTATTTCAGTAACATTGAAAAGTGACTCAATTATACAACCAAATAACATAAAATACTAACATTTTCTTTAGAACGCGCATTTTCGAATTCAATCTCTGTAGCATGATAACAGAGACTTAAGTTCATTTGCTCCTCCTGTTTTTTAATAACATTTGGCATTAAGAAATCGTGCAATTGT